CTGATGCTGTGGAGCTAGGTCTCCATGGTAACTGAATCTTTAATGAGAGTCTGAAGAAGAAAATCTGGTTAATTGAGAACACTGATAAACACCTTCTGATGTCTCTGACCGGAGTTTATGGTTTGTTGAACTGACAAAATGATGTTTCCAACCCTGGAGCTCATGTTGTCTCCTCGTCCTGCAGATGTTAAACTATCTCCATGTCTCCAGACTTTTCCTCTCTGCTCTGCTCATCAGCTGTAGGAAGATGTTCCACCATCAGATGTAGAAAGATGTTCCACCATCAGTAGAAAGATGTTCCACCATCAGCTGAATGTATCTCCACCAACTGGCTCCTCTGGTCTCTGGTTCTGATCCATGCTGCATTCATTCATTGATCCAGTAGGATGGATTCTCCTTCAGTCTCTCTGAGGAAACTCTGGCTGCAGTTCACCTGAAGCTCTCTGAATGTTTCCTGTTGGTCACAGTTGGGTCAGTGGTGGAGGATCAGAACCAGGAGGTGGAAGGGTCCGGTTCTACAGGATCTGAACCAGGAGGAGGAAGGGTCCCGTTCTACAGGATCAGAACCATGCGGGAGGGCTTTTTATTTATGTATTTTTCTAAAGAACCTGCTGCAAATGTTTATTTATTGTGTAGAATAAAGTGATTTTAAGAGAGCAGCACGTTCCATGATACATCCAAGGATTGTCTGAACTGAAAATGCAGTTTCAGTTTCAATAGTAGTTTCTGTCGTCACAGTTTCTGATGGTGTCGTTTTAAAGACAACAGTTCTTTAAGCCTGCCAGCAGGATTCTGGGTCCCAGAAGGTTAAACGTGTGGAAAACAAACATGCTTCCTAATAAACATGGAGACCTTGATGACAGGACGGTGATTCCTAATGAACGGAGCAGAGCCTGTTGTATCTAACAGGACAAGAAGTCTGAACGCAGAATAAACTCACATTCATGCTTCTCTCCCTTCTCAGAGTGACCAATCAGGCGACACCAAAGTGCTCGCCCCTTCCATCACGGGGCGGAGACCCTGTAGAGATCCTGGTTCCCCGTGACATCACCGACCCCCTGAACCTAAAGGGAGGGGGGGAGGATGGGGAGGGAGTTGGCGGGGTCCTGCTGTCCCCCCTAAAGTCCAGGAGGAGGCACCGAAACCGACACCATGGAGGCCCAGCAGACAGGGAGGTGGTGCCAGGACGATTGTTCGCCCCCACAGCTGGACTCACAGGTGAGACTGGGACACCTGGGACAAGTGGATCCAACAGGACACCTGGTGGACGCAACAGGAAACTGCAGCAGCTGGAATATTAAAAGATACCAAAGTCATAAACATCTCATAAACTCTAGAAGAATACATTTAGAATGACTTCTGCTCAAAGTCATAAATAAAAAGACATTTCATGTTGATGTTGTCTCCACATGTTCGTACTGAGAATGTCTTTTTTTTCTGTCACACAACAAGCTTTTCCTTTGCACAAACCACATTTCAGTAATAATTTATTGCAGGTCAGGATGAAGCTTTATAGGAACCAGAACATGTAGATTCAGAACGTTACAGCCAGATGTTGTTCCATGTTCTGCAGTTCCGCTGTTGACCAGAGAGGGCAGTGTTCCTGCGTCTCCTCTCCCCTGTGAACTTAACACGGCCATCACCTGCCGAGATGATGTAGCCCCACCTCCCATCCTACCCAGGAGGCACACCCACCCTCCACCTGGGCCCGCCCACAAGCCTGGGAACCCGGGTGATGGTCGTCATCGGAGACGGCGGCGCACCACCTCAACAAGATCGGCAGACGGTGCCACAAGCGCTGTCACCATGGCAACTGCAGCTCAGCCAACCAAATTCCAGACACCGCTGCTGGGAGGGGCTAAAGCCAGCCGGTAAGCATTGTGCATGAACTGGGTTAAACTGCTGCAATCTGGTTGGACGGCACCGTCACATGGTCACTGCATTTCCCTGCAGGTGTGGAGGACCACAACCCGGCTCTTCTCGGCCACCTGGAAAGATGAAAGACAAACACCGCTACCAGTATGGCAACCACAGCTGTTACTATGGTTACCATGGCCTCTATGGTGACAGGTGGGAGGGGCGAGTTGGAGAGGTGGAGGACCCTCGGATCCGCCTCCTGGAAGCTGATTGGTTCAGAGACAAGACGGTGCTGGATGTGGGCTGCAGTGCCGGTCACATGACGCTGGCCATCGCCAGGAAGTTCAACCCCACTCACATCCTGGGGGTGGAGCTAGACGAGCGGCTGGTGCACGCTGCCAACCGGAACATCAGGCACTTCCTGTCACATGACATGGTGGTGGAGGAGAGGAAGACGGGAACGGTAGCTCCATCTGCTGTCCTGCAGGGAGGGAGGGAGCAGGAAGTGATGCGGGAGGCCCTCTTATCCCTCCCCCTGTCATTCAGGGTGAGTCGGGGTCCTCTCTGTGCTCCTCCCCTTCTGCCTCCACGCTCCTCCTCCTCCAGGTTCCCCAACAATGTCACCTTCATCCAGGTGAGTCTTCCAGCTGGTCTCCATGGTAGCTCCCTGCTTCGTACTGTCCTTACATCACCGCTGTGGCTCCTCCCACAGGGCGACTATGTGTCTGAGCTGGAGGCGTGGCCTGGGCGGGGTCAGTATGATGTCATCATGTGTCTGAGTGTGACCAAGTGGGTGCAGCTGCAGTCAGGTGATGGGGGCGTGGTCAGACTGTTCCGACGGGCCTATCAAAGCCTGTCGCCGGGTGGACTGTTCATCCTGGAGCCACAGCCGTGGAGCAGCTACAACCGCAGCAAGAGGGCCTCGGTAATGTGTGTGTGTGTGTGTGTGTGTGTGAACAGACCTTTATACAGGAGATGATGAACTACAGGAGAGCAGCTCCTCAGGACCTTCACCATCTGAAGCATCAGAGCCACTGTGAGGACAGTAAAGTTCACGTTGTGGACAGAGAAGATGGTCTGAGAGAGGAACGAAGTCAGACTGGAGCAACATCTCTAAACAGACGAGGGTCTACAGCGCCACCTATCACTTACCTGTAACTCAGTGATAAGATTTCTCCCAAGGTAGCTTGACAACCGTGAACACCTGGAGACAGGTGAGTCCTGCTCATGAATGGGCCATCAGCCATGTGAGCTGGACTGACCACACACACCTGAAACGCCCCATCAGTCAGTTAGAAATGAGGAGAGCCTTGGATGACGGAGAAACGTCTCCACCAACCTAAAAGAGAAGTCCAGCTGATTTCTTGTGAAGATAACCGATACCGGTACTGATAATTGGAAAAAACTTCAAATATCACTCTCAGTATTTGGAGGCCAATAATCATTCAATCAGTCCCTAATCAATATATGTAGAAAACAGCAGAAGTTCATGGCAGCACCATGATCACTGTGGAGTCATCTGGGTTCTGAGCTCCAGCTGTGTGCCTGAACTCGACCCGGCACTGACGAGGACGCTGGTCCGCTCACTCATTTTCCATCTTTATCTGTTCTTTTCAAAGGGAATCAGGTTGAATGTTTGTTATTTGATAACCTTAAAAATAAAACCCACAAACCCATCTTAATTCATTCATCCATCAACAGTCATTTAAACTTTCCACTTTATTAATTCCAATCAGCTGATTGGCAAACACTTGATATTGTTCATTAAATAAACCAAATCCAGACACCAGCATGTCAACACAACACCAACTAAACCAGTTACAGCTGTACCCTTTAAATCCACCTCAGACTGTCTCTACATGCAGTCATCGGTAATGAAGGTTTCGGACCTTCCTCCCTGTTCTGGCATGAGCGGCCAACAGAGCACACCTGCCCAGGACCCACTAAGGAAGCCTTCCCCTCCCTTCAGGCCTGAGCTGCCACGCCTACCGCCTCAAAGTGGCACCGCCGCCCTCCTGCTAATAGTAAATTCACTGAACAGGAACCAGGTGACAAAATAAATGTACACGCACCACGATAAGTTGATTGATGATCACACTGTCAGTACGTGTACAGTTCTACTACTTATCCAGCAGTGGAGCTTCAGCTCACCGGTTTTGGTTTGTAACATGAGTTAAAGGATCATTTACGCTCTTTTGCAGGAGACAACGTTTCGTCACTTCAGGAGTTTGAGGCTCAGACCCGAACAGTTCACCTCCTTCCTGACTGACAGTGTGGGCTTCAGCTCGTACCGACTCATCAAACACACAGGTATACAGATGTACAGGTAACTCACGACACCCTGTTGCAGCCTGAGTCTGGAGGAGCTGCAGGAAGCTGTGAGAACCAGCCGGTGTCACTGTGCTGCTGAGTGCTGAAGTCTCAGGAGGCTTCACCTCTGATTTCACTGCTTCATTCAGTCGTACAGAAATCACCACCTGCCGTGTCTGAAGCAGCATCAGGACCGTTTCCTGCTGACCTCACTGTGTTCTTTCATTCTTCATGCCTTTACAACATTATACACAGAGCGTGAGGTGGTCTGTTCAGAGGAGCGTTCAGAGACAACACTGCTGCTGCAGAGTTATGCAGCACCGCAGTGAACCACTCCGAATGGCTCATGTTAGCTCACTGAGGTTTGTCTGCAACGTAAAGTCCTGCAGCTGTGAGGAACCAGAACATGAAGGAGGAGACAAAACTCAGAAACGTCTTCCATCAGCAGGACTCAGAACCACGGAGACCAGAGAGAAAAAACGTTTCTTTTATTATTTATTTTACTAACATGTATAAACCTGGAATCATCATGTTTCCTCAGATGTTCAACCCTGGAGCTCATGTCATCTCCTCATCCTGTAGATGTTAAACTATCTCCATGTCTCCAGACTGTTCCTCTCTGCTCATCATCAGTAGAAAGATGTTCCACCATCAGTAGAAAGATGTTCCACCATCAGATGAATGTATCTCCACCAACTGGCTCCTCTGGTCTCTGGTTCTGATCCGTGCTGCATCCATTCATTGATCCAGTAGGATGGATTCTCCTTCAGTCTCTCTGAGGAAACTCTGGCTGCAGTTCACCTGAAACTGTCTCAATTTTAGAGAATCAGTTAGAACCAGAGAGGAAGGTTTTGTTTTTTGTTGTTTTTCTTTTTAACAGAATTTATAGTTGTTGGTTTTTTTTGTTTGTTTGTTTTGGAGAATTTTTTTGAAACATAGAAAATAACATGACCTGGATGAAATCTGATTTTAAGCTGAGATTCGGTTGTTTTCCTGACAGAACAGCGTGTCCCATGTGGTATGTTCACTGACCATCAGAAAGTTGAGCATCTGATGATTTTTACTTTTTTATGGACGAACCCTGATTGTCAGTCTATCCTACCTTTCAGACTGCTCTGATCATATGACTTTAATTTAAATAAATTCCATTTATACAGCCACAATTTACAGCATGTCATCTCGTAGCACTTCACATAATAAGCTACAGACCCTACAAAGCAGAGAAACCCAACAAATCCAAAGTTTTTTTGGATTCTCTTTGAGCAGCACTCTGCGACAGAAGATACAATTTTCTGTTAAGTCCACACTATTTTCTGGCCACCACCTCGACATCCAGCGGTTGGATGACGACATGCGGCTAAACATGTCATCACTGGTCAGATTGGGCAGGGGTCCAGAGAACACTACGGAGTCTGACATTGTTTTTGTGAATTTATGCACCAATTCCACATTAGAGGATCAGAACCTCCAAGTCCAAGGCCATTGTTCTCTGCTGGAAACCGATGGATTGCCTCCTCCAGGTGGGGGGGAGTTGCTTCCCTAAGCGAGGGAGTTTAAGTATCTGGGGATCTTGTTCACTAGTGATGGGGAAATAGAGTGCGAGGTGGACAGGCGGCTTGGTGCAGCGTCAGCAGTCATGTGAGTGCTGACCTGGACCGTCATGGTGAAGAGAGACTTGAGCCCCAAGGGGCACTGGGCAGTGGCCCTGTGTTACTTCTTCAGGCTGAGCCCAACTGAGCCCCAGGGGGCCTCAAGGCTCTGCCACCAGGCGCCCCACTGCGAGCTCCCTGCCCAGGCCTGGCTCCAGGAGGGTGCCCCGGTTTCCCTATGGTGCCGGCTTTGCTTTTTTAAGTTGTCATCAGGGGTCTTTGAATCGCTGTATCTGGTCCCTCCCCCAGAACCAGTTTGCCTTGGGAGTCCTGACCAGGGGCTAATGGCCCAGACAACATAGCCCCCAGGATCACAGGGACACTCAAACCCCTCCACTG